AATCATCTCACATTGGGCCTCAGGTTCTCAGTATGACCTTTCCTCTAGCGCCACCAGGAGGCAGACATTCATGTCCCGGTTCTGGATGGTGAACATGTAAAACATTACACCTGCTACATATCAGCATATTAGCATTGTCACTGTTAGCATGCTGGCATCGCTGTGTCTAAGTACAGGCTCACAGAGATGCTAGAGTGGCTGTTTTGTCTCATTTCTTATTTAGTATATTTCTTGAAATCAAACCAAGTGGATATAATGACTTTTCTGTCATTTTGCCTGTTATATAGTCGACAGTGGAGACACATGGGAAACTGAGTCAATGACGTCCACAGGTGGCTACATAGTGTTGTAGGTCGCGGACACACCAGGAACCCAGCAAGTGATAAAGTAGTCATATGTAAACATGTTATACATCCATCTTCAGACAGCAGGGAGCGAGCTGCTGTGTCTTCAGGGTGGGGCTCAGTGTAGAAAGTTCAGATAAATAGTTTTTCAGATGAACCCCCCCCCCCCCGCTGAGAGTCTACTGCTGTGATTTGTAATGCTCATGTTAAAACAGCCACCATCACTGTAGAATCTGGGGTTGGTTTTGGCACACACACACACACACACACACACACACACACACACACACACACACACACACACACACACACACACACACAGCTTCTATAACTCCTGTGAGGAGGTGGAGTACTGAGTAATCTACATGACAGCTGGTCCAAAGCCACATTGTTGGGACTTGAACCCTCAACCTCTGCTTCTCAAAGAGACCAGTGTCTCTAAGCCTTCAGGTTAGACCCCCTCCTCCTCTTATCCTTCTATGTGTCATTCTTCCATCTTCCGCTCTTTCAACCTCCTGTCTTTTCATTTTCTTAGTCTCATTTATCTCTCTCCATCACCATGACCTCTTTTTATCTGCTCTCCTCTGGTATGTGCTTTTCTCTTCATTCACTCTCTTCCTCTCTTTCTTTTACATTTACTCTTTCATGTAGCCATCATTTGTTTTCTCACCACATTCATTACCTCCCTCTCTGTCCTCTCTGTCCTCATCTGTCTCTGTTGTTTATAATTCATTGATGTTTTTCCTCTTTCATGGACGTTCCCTCTTCCTCTCATCAGCATTACAGGCTCATTCTGGTTCAAGCAGTTGAGCCTTGCTCAGGTGTGTCTCTGACCTTTCACAGTATCAACATCCAGTTTATCGGGACGTGTTTTGCAGCAAGGCTAAACTGTTTGAAGTTTATCAGTCTATCCCTGGACTTTAAGGAACATGGTGGGTGTTACACTTTGCACAAAAGACTTTTCCAGAGTTTAACTGTGTTGTAAAGATATACTGGGACTAACAGCTGATAATGCTAACGTGGCTACATAGCGATAGCAAAACTTAGAAATAGCTCCTGAAGAACCAAACAGTGACCAAGCAACAACCCTAACCATGTTTATTATCATTACCATGATGCTGTCTGTAAACTGGTCACATGACAGAAGCTGTTGACACGACACACAAGTGACACCCTGAGACTGCTCTCTCTATAGCACACACACACACACACACATACACATACACATACACATACACATACACATACACATACACATACACATACACATACACATACACATACACATACACATACACATACACATACACATACACATACACATACACATACACATACACATACACATACACATACACATACACATACACATACACATACACATACACATACACATACACATACACATACACATACACATACACACACACACACACACACACATAAAACAGCACCACTGTGCTGCTTACATTACAATGTATTATATATTAAAAATACACTGTTAAAAAACAAGGCAATGTATTATATATAAAAATTTAGTTAAAAAACATATTTTCAGGATGGATTTCAGGAAAAAAACAACAACATCACCACAGTTTCAGTGAAGCCAAACCCATCTAATCATTTTATAATATTTGATGGCAGTTTTTTCTTCTCGATTTAATCTGTCAGTCTTAAAATAAACTTTACAAGTTTAACAAGCAGCAGAAATTAAAGGAGAAGCAGTTGAAACTATAATTTAAGAACAGTGATGAGGGGCCAAGATGGAGCAGATTCAAAGACTCAATGTCACCAACATTAACACATCCTTCCATGTTCACTTGAAAGTTTAAATATCTATCAAACTGTCTTCAAATATGTCTCTGATTTTCCAGCCAAAATCAATAAAGAATCACAAGTTTTCTTTTATGAAACCATTGAGACTTTTGTTCATGTAAACTTTAAATATTGGCCATTGAACCTGTGGGCTGAATACTCCTTTGACTAAATGTTCAGAACATTTTAAATCTAAACATATGTTAGCCATTACTAAAACATTCAAACCTCTAAAACCCTCTTTTCTTTCCAATATGTCTCAGAGCTGAAACTTATATACAGCCTAGTAAAACTCAAGTTTCTTTCTTTTCTGTCCTCTTTTTCTTTCTGAGTTTTAGATTTTCAGATTGGTCCACAGACCTGGGAACTGAAGTGAGAAAAAGCAGGAGAAGAAGATTATATGACCAATCTATTAGACGTAGCATTGAGATGAGTGATGGACAGACAGATGAAAGAGAAAGGAAACAGAATGGAAAAGACAGAAGAAAGAGTAGAGGACGTCCTACATTCCAGCAGCTAGAGTCTCCAGCAAACTCCAACTAACACCCGTCTGCATGTGCATCTGGGCAACGCCGACTGAGAAAACAAACTCATTAATTCACAGGCTGTAAGTGAAAACAAACACACCCTTCACTCTGAGAACTAATGCAATCTGATCAAAACGGGACGCAAGTGTGAGTGTTTGTGTTTTCAATTGAAAGTGAAACTAATATGGAAAATAAAACAAACTAATAAAAGACATGAGGCCACAGAAAGGACTAATGAGGTAAACTTAGTTTTTACATATCAAACACAGTGGCTGGTGTTTCAGCAGCACTGAAATAAGTCTGTACTATCACATATGACTTTGAAAAACAGTCACTTCAGTTATGTTTAAATAATTTGTATAAGTAAAATAGATGTCTACAAAAGATTCACTCTTCATCTAAATTCACCTGTTTTACCTCAGATGTATTTTTACCTGCAAATCAGTAAGTCAGTAAGTCAGTAAGTCAGTGCTGACTGATGTCTGAACTAAACATAAAGAGAGGAGGAGAGAACTTTAATAGTGTGGAAGAAAAGATTTCCTTCTTCCTGGTTGAACTTCTATCAACTAGTTGATTGAAATGAGATAACGAGCTTTTCCTGTCACTAAATTACCTCCACGTCCTCTGGGGAATACGAACAGCCTCTGGGCTTCTCTGGGTTTAATGAGAAAGAGGCTGAGGAGCCAAACAAAGGAAAAGACTGAATGAGAAATACGACTGAACCGTGAGAAGATGAGACACATGAAGAGGTTAGAAGAGATTTACCACTGACCTGAGTCACAGAGGAAATTATGTTAAAGAGTCAAACTGCAGCACCAAGTCTGAGATCACCTAGACAGGAAGTGGGGAACCAGCCAGTCACTTTAATGAGAATCTTATAGGCAGATTTTCTTCCCTCAACTTGCTTGAAAAATGAGAGTAGAGACTTTTTTTATGTAATGACGTAATGAAAACAGTAAGTGTTTTTATTTTATTGCTGCTCTATCAAAGTGAAAATGTCAATCAATCAGTTTACAGGATTTTCTAGATTTTAGCCTCTCCCTCAGACACCATAAATATATTCCAGTTAAATCCACACGGTGAAAAGCCAGTGGATTTTATGGAACAATATGGATCAGTAATCATCGACTCTCAGGATGTTACACAACATAAAATCTGGATGAACAGAGGATAAAATACAGTTGGTCATATTTTGTTAAACTGACTTTGATGGAACAGAAATATGAAGCTCAGGCTGCAGAGTTCTTTACATTATATTCCACATACTGACAGTTCTGCTTCTCAGTGGTGCAAGAGGAAAGGTCAAAGGTCATCTTTCTTTGGCACAAGTGGAACATTTTAGCTGAATGGTGACATTAGAAAAAACACCAATAACATCAGGTGTAAATGTGGAACATGAAGCAAAAATCTGCCCTGTGGTTTTAAACATCATGTTGGACAGATAATGGACTGACATCCACCAACATGTCCAACCCTCATGCTAGCACCTCCTGTGGCTGCTGCACCTCTAAATATGTGTTCAAAGATCTGATTTCTCCATCAGTCTCTCTTTATCTCAGTTTCCAGTCCAACAGGAAGAGCAGTAACTTTTCTCCTGAAAACATGGAGCTCAACGGAGGAAATCCTGTGTGATATCTATCACTGATGATTACACCAAACAATGAGCGCGCACACACACACACACACACACACACACACACAGAAAGCCAAAGAGAGAGAGGAGAGGAGGAGAGAGGCTGGACAAAAAGAAATGATGTAAATGTCTTGGATTTACGTCTGTTTTGGAAACATTAACTCTTCAGTAAAATCCCTGAAATCAAAGCAGCAGCCAATAAATCAGTTAAATCATAGTTTCACAGTCAAACAGTGGAAAGAACGTTTTGAGAATGAAAGCTTTCAGGGTCAGTAACAGTGTGAATCCTGGTTAACAGAAAACCTCCGACCTCTGCAGGATAATAATCAGGTCTCATTATGTTGCCGCTGCTAATAAACTTGTCTAATGAGCTGATCGCAGCCCTGTGTGTCCCACCACAAAGAGGGGAAGCTCCGCCAGAAGCTCCTCTGGCTGGACACCCCTGAGCCCCGCTGCCTCCTAAAACACATAAACCCCAGAACAGAGGCCAAAACATCGACCCGGATTTCACGCTCCAGCTCGGACCACCGCGAGGACAAGAAGTAGTTTGAGAAAAATGCACAAATAAAAAATCAAATACGCCTCAAAGCCTCATTAACAGGAGGCTGTTGAAATATTCACATGGAAAGAAGCAGAGAAGACTCCATATAAAGACAGATGGATAATTGATCACTTCATTACCTTTGTATGACAGCCTCAGTCGCGGTACATTTAACTTGGTCGCCGACACGGTGGCGACGAGCAGCGCAACAAGAATCATGTGGGAGAAAGATGTAAATTCCTTCATCCTGCTTCAGAATTAATAATACATTCAAAATGTGTTGCCAACAAACAAACACTATATTCCTGGAGCTGGGTCTCCTCTCACGATGCCAATACTCAGGTAGTTCCTCCGGTGCTAACAAGGCTCTTAGATCGAGCAGCTGAGTCCACTCCCCGGAGCGACTGCCGCTCCGCCCCAGTGATTCACTGACCCGCTCCGAGGCTCAAGCTGCCGCTCCTCCACTTCACTGCCATGAGCTGCAGCAGGAGAGAGAGAGAGAGAGAGAGAGAGAGAGAGAGAGAGAGAGAGAGAGAGAGAGAGAGAGCTGCCCCTCCTTTACGCACAGATAGCTCTCTCAAAACTAGGCAAGCGCTCTCACAGATGATTCATCATTTCAAAATCATCCGGAAGTAGAGTGCGTTTAGAAACATAGAGTAGTGTAGAAGAGCTGAGAAACTTTTACACCTTTAATGTGAAGGTGTTGAAGCTGAACTCAAGATAAATAAAGTCTGACTTCATTTAAATTACAAAAACACTTCACCTGGTTTTTGTATTTTTAGTGAACTGTCCTGTTGGAGCTCTAAGAG